ACCACCTCAACTACAATGCGTATTATGCAACAGCTTCATTGATTGAAATGGAAGTTTTGCAGAATGCGGGATGCAGATAACCAGCTCAACCTGGCTTGAAAAGTTGTATGTACAGTGTTTTGCTGTTCATGTTTCTAGATTTTTGTCATTTATGAAGTGTAAAGCCTACAGTCAGTCTACAGCAAGCACTGGAAAACAAATCAGAATTTTTTTTTGTCTGCGGGTGGGTCCCGTACACCACTGGACCGCACGCTGCGTGCTTAAAGCATAGACAAACTAGAACACTATAATGGGAACGTTTGTCACATTAAATCACTAGCATTATTTGCAAGGTGTTTTACCAAGGCTTAAAACGTTAAATGTGTGATTTACTTAGTCTCATTTAATCCAAAGCATATCTGGAATGGGTATACATGATGTTGGCCAAGTCTAGTACAATACATGGCCAAAAGTATATAGACGCCCACTCCTAATTAAGAGGTGTGGCTATTCCAGTAACTGGTTTTGAAGATAAATCCTCACCATGCACATATGATTGTGGGGTTTGGGTACTTTTGGGACATATAACAATGGCATGTTTGTGGAAATTATTGTAACAAGGTTTTTAAAAAAATTTTTTTTATGAATGTAGCACATGGTCATGATTAACATCGCACATTTATGCACTCAGGGTTTATGTGAATGAATCCTGAATATTGCCATTATGCTCTCTCACATGGGCCTGAGATCAAAGTAGCTCTGGTATCGCATGTTGATACTTATTAATGGACCTCTTTGTCAGGACTGAGCTCTACAGACTTTCAGCAAAGTGGCCTAAAATTGCAACATAATTGGGCCATCTATGAGTGTGAGGCTAAACATTCATTCCCTTCCTCCCCAAAGACTCTCCCTCTCTCCCTCTACCTGTCTTTCTTTATAACCACTCTTAATAGTTAATTTGGTGTTGCACTTCTGTTTGGTAGCAGCAGGATAACTTCAATCGTTTGCTAAACAAAATCAAGATAACAGGATTGATATTTTATTTTGCCTTTTAGTAAAAGTTGACTCATTGTGTTGTACTGTATAGACATTGGGGGATTCTAGAAAGTCAGTGAGCATGGCAAAGCAAAGCATGAGCGATGTGGGAAAGAAATTCAGATTCACCGACTGAGAAAATGGAGTGAGAGGTGAGATCGACACAGAACGGGACAGTGCAGGACAGTCTGGACTTGTTCCTGTCCACTGTCCAATGAAGAGGTGTTTAATGAGAACTCAGGGAGAGAAAAAGAGACAGCGAGGGAGTGAAGGAGACGGCAAACCTGAGAAATTGAATGTGAAGTGTAAGGTAGAATGAGAGAGGAGTTTGGAATATAAAACTGGTTTTGGCATTAAATATTAATCTTCCTCAGGTTTGGAAGAGCAGAACGTTTCTTTCCAAAGCACTGCGAAACACTCAGCAAAAGGTATGGACCCAAGAGGGAAATGTAGCTCACACCCATAAACCACACAGCGAAAGAAAAAAAAAATGAAACAGATTTTCTCTAATGAACTGCTGTCCACAAGCATGAACATTTAAATCAGGACACACCTGCGTCCACAGGCATAACATGCTCACGCATCACATCCATATATGCAAAGTACCTCACATACTTTCTTCTCTCAAACTCATAATATTATATCACAGTAAGATCTTTAGCCAGTGAAGCAGAAATCTGCATCTGACTGCATTCACATCGCCCAATATGCACATCCCCCAGCTGTTTCAGCATAAACAGCCTTTTCTTTTTCAATTTACCACTGCATCCTCACATTTCAATAATGCATGGTTTAAGAGAGAAACAGAACAATACATTATATTGTGCCTCGGTTTTGTTTCATTTAAAGTACCTGTACTAGAATGCTTTAGCAATTTTATAACCCTTTATTTGCTAATGATTAATTGTCAGGCAAAAAAATTGTGATTAATGATTTATTTGCTATTTTGTTCATCACAATATAAATGTAATACACTCATTAACACACATATAGACATTTTTTTCTCTTTAAACCTGGAATCCTACAATAAAATGTGTGATTTTCTTTGAGGCTTTGCAAACAAATATTGCACATAAATATTGCTATTTTCTTTTAAGTGTTTCTCTTTTTGTCTGCTTTTAAAAAAAAATTTTTTCCCATAATATAATAATATTTCAAATAAATGCTTATCTTTTGAGCTTTGTTTGTCCTGATAGATAGATAGATAGATAGCTAGATAGCTAGATAGATAGATAGATAGATAGATAGATAGATAGATAGATAGATAGATAGATAGATAGATAGATTTCCACACAGGTTTGTCTTTTACCACAAAGTCCACCTTATGATGAAAGATGAATGATTAATAAGGTCATGGGCAGGTCGAATCAAATATCACACTCCCGGATGAACAATAACAGTTCCCCAGTCCTGGTGTCATCACCCCAACTCTCTATTTCCCATCTATTGCCTGTGCAATGTGATATGTAATTCAGCCAGGGCCATTCAGTTTTATAATAAAAGATGGCCTTGCAGCCCCAGTGTGGGTCAAGGAGAGCGTCTGGCCCACATTAAATAGAAATCTGACTTAATGTCATACATGAGGTGATATGGGAGTTGGCTTGAGCTGCATGTGTCAAAAAGGGTTCTTCTCCTACAGGTCTTTCATTAACATAATAATAATGTTTGATGTATGTATATATTTATACAAGGTGAAGTTGATGATGGCAGTCTGTGTATATTGTGCCCTGCTTTAGTGGATAAAGGTAAAAGGCATAAATGTATCTGTTTGATCACACACATGCATATGTACATACAGACTACCATCATCCACTTCACCTTGAATAAATATATATACATATACAGAACATTATTTTTATGCTAATGAAGAATATGTGTGTATATATTTTATTCATAAAATTTAGGTAAGAACAGGGAACAGCTTGCTTCTGTGATGAGCAATTAATACATTTCTTTATGGATTTTGATGTATACCTTGTATTATTGTCAATCCAATCTAAGCCTCTTATTAAAACCTCAGATGGATTTATTTGCATTTTATCTGAACAAATAATTAGCTGCAATCACATTTGCAAAATCTAGGTGCATTTAAATGTTGGATACAACAGGAGCTTTCTTTTGAGAAGCCGTCCAGATGATTCATTGGCATGAAGGTGATGTCTTGTGTGTCCAAAGACTTAGATGCAACCAGCAAATTCAATTATCTACTTTCCCTTAGCTAGGTTGTCCCAACAAAGTGGACGATCAATCAGGAAGACAAGGTCAAAGAGGCTACTAATTGGCTGATGGTGAAGGAGCATTAATATTAAAATCAATATGTGCATGTCACAAGTACTCTAAGGAATAAAAAAAAGTTCTTAAAAGCATGGTTTTTGTTAATTTTGCAGCATGTTTTACCTCCCAAAAACTGCATACTATACCTTAAGTATGATGGGCCATTTATTTTCATTTAGAATTTTGACCTGAACTCTTCCTACTTCTACTTGGAAAATCAATGACCATGGCCATGATGAAAAATTATAAGTATTACGTGGTCCTTGTGACTTGCTGCCAGCCGTGTTCCCATTTTTAATGTCCCCTTCCCCTCTTTGGCCATTTTCACTTGTGAGCCTGAATGGCGGCCCAGAGAATCTAACTAACTGAAAGTTGTTGTTTTTTGGCCCACCACTGTACTGTATAGTGTACACTCATAATATTAAATTCATACATGCTGCATCGTGGTGTGCAATTAAGTCAGCAGTTCACCCATTTCCCCCTGATAACAATTGCTATATCCTGCTCAGCCTTCTGGGAAATCCCTATAGTTTAGCTGACCCCAAATTAAAAATCCTGCAGCCGCTCATTAGTTCCTCGCTGCCCTGCGAAACAAAAGCGTGTCGAAGTGGAGCAGAGCTATTGATCATATTAGCATAAAAAGCTGCAGCGGCAGGTTACCTGAACTGATCGCTTCTCCCCGCAGCAGAGGTCAAAGAGCAGGGTTACGACCCACCTTGAGCTCCATGAATACTACATTATTATTATTGCTACCTTTGTCATTACTGCATTGGCTATGGGTTAGAGATGAAGATACAGTGTTAAATTGCAGAGGTCAAAAGGACACTGACTTTGGGTGTCTGACAGAGACTATTTGGACTCCCTGGTCTTTCTATTCTTTCTCTCTTAAGTAAAAGGAATATATATATACAGGTATATATTTATATATATATATATATATATATATATATATATATATATATATATATATATATATATATATATATATATGTATATATATAT